CCGTTTGACAACATTGTTTGGTCAAATTTCGCATGCCATTGCTTGGGTGCTTGTTTTAGTCCATAAAGAGACTTAACAAGTCGACACACCTTCTTTTCTTTTTCTGGAACCACAAACCCTTCAGGTTGGTCCATGTAGATTTCTTCCTCTAAATCACCATTTAAGAAGGCTGTTTTTACATCCATTTGATGGATTTGAAGATCATACAAGGCGGCTAACGCTATTAGCATCCGAATGGATGTAATTCTTGTTACCGGCGAGTATGTGTCAAAATAGTCAAGACCTTCTCGCTGTCTAAATCCTTTGACAACAAGTCTTGCCTTGTATTTGTCAATAGTACCATCGTCTTTCATTTTCTTCTTGAAAATCCATTTAGAACCCAACGTTTTGTTGCCTGGAGGAAGATCAACCAATTCCCAAGTATGGTTGCTCAATATGGATTCTATTTCACTATTGACAGCTTCTTTTCAATATTGTGCCTCTGAGGAAGACATTGCTTCCTTGAAGGTACGAGGCTCATTTTCTAACAGAAAAGTCAGAAAATCTGGACCGAATGAAGTAGATGTCCTTTGACGTTTACTTCTTCTCGAATTTTCTTCATTAGACATACCATCTGTTATTTCCTCCCGAGGTCGTTTTAACTTTTGGTATGTCACTTCACTTTCCTTTTTATACGGATAAATAGTTTCAAAGAATTCAGCATTATCTGATTCTATTATCGTATTAACGTAAATCTCCGGATTTTCTGACTTATGAACCAGAAAACGATATGCCTTGCTATTGGTTACATATCCAATGAATACACAATCAACCGTTTTTGGACCTTTCTTAACCCTTTTAGGCTTAGGAACTTGTACCTTAGCTAGACACCCCCACACTTTGAAGTATTTCATGCTGGGCTTCCTTATGGTTGGGGAAAGCATTCCCTTATCTGAACTTGGTGGGCATTCTTTCCAGCCTTAGTAAAATAGGGGGTCCACTTTTCATAAGGAATGGACTGTGTTTTACTATGAGGTACACGGTTGATTATTCGGTTAGCTGTAAGTATAGCTTCCCCCCACAAGTTTTGTGGTAAGTCAGAACTTATCAGCAACGCATTCATCATCTCCTTCAATGTTCGATTCTTTCTCTCCGCAATTCCGTTAGATTGTGGAGAGTAAGGGGCAGTTGTTTGGTGAATAATGCCATTTTCCAAACATATTTCTTCAAAAGGAGATTCATATTCGCCACCCCTATCACTTCTTATCATTCTTTGGTGCACGACAATCCACGGCCTTATGCCCAGATTTTCCACAGTTGTGGCAATTACCCTTGAACTTCTTCTTGCTTGGGTAGTTCTTTGGTCCAAAAGCCTTCTTTCTCTTCTTGGTTTGTGGCGCCTCCTCAACAATGTTAGCCCCCATTATTGTCGAGTTCCCACGTGACTTCTTTTCAGCATTTTTGTTGTCTTCTTCTATCCTCAAACGCACAATCAAGTCTTCAAGTGTCATCTCCTTTCGCTTGTGTTTTAGATAGTTCTTAAAATCTTTCCACAACGGAGGTAATTTCTCAATGAAAGCGGCGACTTGAAAGGCCTCATTTATGACCATACCTTCAGCAAGGAGGTCATGCACAATGACTTGTAATTCTTGGACTTGAGTTATGACCGACCTAGTGTCAATCATCTTGAAATCCAAAAATCTAGCAGCCACGAACTTTTTAAGTCCGGCATCCTTAGTCTTGTACTTCTTCTCAAGCGCATTCCATCACGCTTTTGAAGTTTCCATGACACTATAGACATTGTACAAGCCATCTTCCAAACAACTCAAAATGTAATTTTTGCACAGGAAATCAGAATGTTTTCATGCTTCAGTTACAACAAGTCGTTCATCATCCGGAGTATTTTCAGCCATGACCGGAGGATCCTCCTTGATGAAACGTTGCAAGCTCAACGTAGTAAGATAGAAGAGCATCTTCATTTGCCAGCGTTTGAAGTCAATACCGAAAAACTTTCCGGGTTTTTCTGCCGGTGCCATAGCATGAGCAGGAGTAGAACGGCTTGACGAGGCAGCAGCACTCATAACAGTAGCACCCGTTCCCGCAACACTTCCATTAGTTTGGTTTTCATTCGTCATATTTCTGTAAAGTTGAAAACGATACAGAACTTTGTTAAATCAGTGAAGTTTTGATATCTTCAAACTGAATATCAAACCAAACATACAACACGTAACAATGGTGAAGTTTTTATATACTTCAAACCCGTACGTTTATTATTCCAGATAGTTTTTATGTACTTTAAACCGGACAAAAAGAATTATTGGAGTAGAAAGCAACAAGGCTTTAGTCTCCAACAGTATACAAAATATGAATAACAGTTTAATATATGTTTCAACACAAAAACGTATAAAATTCCTTAAGCTTGTGAGCGTTACTGTGTTAAAACACAAAATCAGGAAAAACAAAACTGTTAGAAGAATTAAAGAAATCTGGAAAAATAGTAGAGTTTAAGAAATATTCTGAGTCCACAATTTGCTTGTGTGTCCTTAAGGAATTTTAACCCCCTCACACGTTGCCAAGGTAATGGATTAAATCCTCCCAGGATAAAACGGAATAAACCTTCCTGCAACAGTGGCAATACAAACTGCAGGATACCAACGAACTTAAAGAACTGAGCAAAATCACACTTACAAATTTGAGAGAGAGAGACTGCGAATTAGGATGCAGTATATTCAGAAAGAAAGAAGCTCTGGAGTGTTTTTCGTATATAGAAAATGGAGTCTTGCCTCAGAATTTATAGGCAATTATCAGAAGAGGTGTCTGGAAAAGGTGCCTTTTCAGAAGAATACGCTGCCTGCCGCGGTTCTACCGCGGTCGCGGCAGAACCACGGTCAGAGGGGCTTTCTGAACCTGCCTGCCGCGGTTCTACCGCGGTCACGGCAGAACCGCGGCCAAAGAGGCCCTCTGAACCTTCAGCAGGATTCTGGCGTATTTTCAGCAGTGATTTGGCATTTAATTAATTATTAAATAATTAAATAAATTTTGTCCAAAAATAATCTTATCGATCATTTGACAAATCCAAATCCGAAGCCGAAGCCGAAGCCGAAGCCGAGCCGAGCGACGACGACGGCGCGAGGGTTCATTCTCTTCAACTCCTTTTAAGAGCTTTAAGAAGTGATTCTATATATAAGCACACAAATGTGGTTATCCCTCACCAATGAGGGACAAAGTGCAAGACAAAAGTTCACTTCTTCAAATTTTCAATTTTCCTCCATTTTATTTCCCTCCATTTCCAATTCACACTTCTTCTACTTTAAAGCCCAATGGCTTAAAGTTCAACAGAACCTTCGTCTTAAGGAGGTGATAATGATGGGAGAAATTTAAAAATAGCCAGAATTATAACTGGTCGTTCAAAAATAGCCCAGTTTCAAAATTGGTCGAAATTTAGCCACTTTTCATGTAAAGATAAATCTGAGCGAAAGCACTGTTCAAAACCCGGAAAACACACCAGTATATTATGCTGGAGTTCCAGCATAAGTATACTTGAACTCCAGCATATTATACTGGAGTTCCAGGATAAGAATGCTGGAACTCCAACATAATATGATGGAGTTCCAGCATAAGTACACTAGAACTCCAGCATAATATATTGGAGTTCCAACAAGTATACCGGTCCAGCATAATATACTGGAGTTTGGAGCACCGGTGCTCCAGTCTCCAGTATATTATACTGGAGCCAACAAAGTATAACGGTCCAGCATAATATGCTGGAGTTCATACACAGGTGCACCGAACTCCAGTATATTATGCTGGACCGGTCTCTGTTGCAGCAAAATAGTGGCTATTTTTCATTGACTTGGTAAACGCTGGCTATTTTTGAATGACCAATCCGAAAACTGGCTATACCGTGCTATTTTGACCTAATGATGGGGCATTTTCAAAACTGCCCTTTTCTAAAGTCATTATTTAAATTATGTCCCTATTAATTCAATGGGCTAAATTTGCCAGCAAAGAAATAAAAATTGCACCCCGTGGAAAATAGAGACAATTTAGAGTGACCTCAAACAAGACCAAATTCTCCAAATAATCCCATAATGTTTAAAAGAGTAATGCGTTGGAAATGAGAAGCTCAAACCAATAAATAAAATTGGTCCTTTCTTTTCCCAAGACTTTGTTTTCATGTATAAGGTGTTCATGGATGGAATTTGTACAAGATATTTCTGGTGGGACGCTTGAACTTAACACGACCTGTTAGCAATCTTAGTGTCTGATGAATATGAAGCCCCCGGAGGTGGTGCAGAGATGATGTTAGAAATATGTTTTAGAAACTGAAAATAATAAAATTATTTTACTGTTTCGGTTTAAGAGTTATTTACTGCAGTAATTTAGTTTGAATTTGAAATAATTTTGAACTAGTCTCTAGGAGTTTGTTATTTTCAACAGATTTTGTGCTGATTTTTAGATCTTTTAAATTAGTATTTCTCTTATAAATTATAGTCCAAATGCAGTAAAATAATAAAGAATTTTCAGCTTCAGTTCTTTAGAGTTCCTTTTACATCTATTCCAGAATATTCCTTTTATTTTCCTGTGACCTTCCCCTGTTATTTCCGTTAGTTTCTTTTTTCAAGAACCAACAATTGGTATCAAGAGTCATCTTCATAAGGGACCTAAGTAAAATCTTTTCTTGAGTGAGATGGAGAGTGAAACGAGTTTTTCTCAATTGACTCCTCCGGTCTTTGATGGTGAAAATTACCAACTATGGGCAGTGAGAATAAAGACTTACTTGGAGGCTTTAGATCTTTGGGGGGCCGTGGAAGAGGATTATGATGTTCTTCCACTGCCTAACAATCCTGGCCCAGATCAAGAGTCACAAGCAAAAGAAAATCAAGAAATCAAAGGCGAAAGCAACTTTGTTTGCTGGTGTGTCTGCAACAATTTTCACGAGAGTTATGGCTCTCAAATGAGCAAAAGAAATTTGGGATTATCTAAAGGAAGAATATACAGGAGATGAAAGAATACGAGGCATGAAGGTGTTGAATTTAATAAGGGAATTCGAGTTGCAGAAAATGAAAGAATCTGAGACCGTCAAAGAATACTCAGATCGGTTGCTTGGCATTGTTAACAAGGTAAGGTTGCCTGGTACTAAATTTAAAGATTCAAGAGTTGTTGAAAAAATTCTTGTTACGGTGCCTGAAAAATATGAAATATCCATAACTACCTTGGAAAACACAAAGGACCTATCCAAGATTATCTTGGCAAAATTGTTAAATACATTGCAAGCACAAGAGCAAAGGAGGCTTATGAGGCAAGATGGTATGGTTGAAGGAGCCTTGACAGCCAACCACAAAACTCAAAGCAAGGGTAATAATACAAAGAAAAATTACCCACCTTCTCAGCATTGTGGCAAAAAAGGTCATCCACCATTCAAATGTTGGAAGAGGCCGGATGCAAAGTGCAAAATCTGCAACCAACTTGGTCATGAATTTGTAATTTGCAAAGGCAAATCTCAAAAGCATGAAGCAGATGCCCAAGTCGCCAATGAAGAAGAAGATCACTTGTTTGTGGCAACTCTTCTTTCAACCAAGAAATCTGATTTTTGGATAATCGATAATTGTTGTACAAACCACATGACATATGACAGAAATCTTTTCAAAGAATTCACGTTTATGGGAAATAAGAAAGTCAGAATTGGGAAAGGTGATTATATTCTTGCTAAAGGAAAAGGAACTGTTGCAATTGCAACAAATTCAGGTACTAAGAAAATTTTAAATGTTCTTTATGTTCCTGATATTGATCAAATTTTATTGAGTATTGGACAACTAATGAAAAAAGGATTTAAAGTATCATTTGAAGATAAACATTGTTTCATTTATGATGTAACTGGACTTGAGATTTTAAAGGTTAAAATGAGAGGTAAAAACTTCTCATTTGATCCAACAGAAGGCGAAGAATTGAGCCAAAAGAATCTACAAAGTACAGATAATCCTCCAACTGAGGACATATGTGAAAATGAGGCAAGGAAGAATTTGTCAATATTTCAGAAAAACAAAATCTGAAAAAGTTGACAAGCCTCAAGAGAAGATGCAAATGAAGTCGACAAAAAGAGCCACCTTATTTCATTGACAATCATGAGATGCAGCAAAATAGAAAAGTGAACTCAATTTACTACAAGTCCAAAGATCAGTTGGCAGATTTACGTACAAAATCGTTTCTAGTTAAAGGTTTACAAGACATAAATTCAAAATAGAAATATGCTTTAGAAGCTGAAAATAGTAAAATTATTTTACTGTTTCAGCTTAAGAGTTATTTACTACAGTAATTTAGTTTGAATTTGAAATAATTTTGAACTAGTCTTTAGGAGTGAACTAGTCTCTATGAGTTTGTTATTTTTAGCAGATTTTGTGTTGATTTTTATGATTAGTATTTCTCTTATAAATTATAGTCCAAATACACTAAAATAATTTTTAAAAAATCAGCTTCAGTTCTTTAGAGTTCATTTTACATCTATTCCAGAATATTTCTTTTATTTTCCTGTGACCTTCCCCTGTTATTTCCCTTAGTTTCTTTTTTCAAGAACCAACAGATGAGAAAGCGGCAAATTTGGTAATTCATCAGAAAAAATGAAAGAGAAAGGGAAGAAAACCCAATGTATAAGAGTATTTGGTCAAATGGGGTCCCTCTCAACATGAGTTCTCTACATCTTTGCTCTGTTGATACATCTAGAAGTGAGGAAATAAAAAACAAGCATCAAGCTACTCTATTTGCTAGTAGGATCATCAAAAAAAAAAAGGCAATCTGGTGCACTAAGCTTCCGCTATATATGGGGTTCAGAAAAGAGTCGGACCTTGTTAGCTCTTATGTACACAGTACATTTCTGCAAGAGGCTCTAACTGAACCCGTGATCTCTTAGAGGGTGTTTGGATTGGCTTTTGAAGCTGGTCAAATAAGCTTTTAAGCTCTTTTTAGCTTTTTCTTTATTGTTTGGCAAAGTTAAAAAGTGCTTAAAATAAGTTAAAAACTACTTAAAACAAGCCAAAAGCAACAAGCTGCGCAACCCCAAATTATTGTTTTTTGGCTTTAAAGCTATTTTTGCTAAAAATCCACTTTTTTCAAAACAATCCAAACAGGCTCTTAGCCACACGACGGCAACTTTTACTGTTGCACTAACGCTTCCCCTCACACATTGGGTAATATGTACATAGCCTCGCCTTGCATTTTTGGCAAGAGGCTGCACGATTTGAACTCGTGACCTCTTGGCAATATAAGATCATAATTGGGTAAAAAAGGTAATATCAAAGCTTTGCTAGGAGAATCTGTATATCAACAACTAAAGAATTTCTCTGGAGAAAGGAGACCTTTGGTTTGTTGGCTTGAAGGGAGAACCCTAGGTATAACCTTTCCACAAAGGATCATGGTTAAAGTGCAATACGGACGGATCTTCTATTGACAAATCCAGGAAAGAAGTTCATGTGCATTTGTGGTTTGTTATGAATATGGCCATTTGAAGATATACTGATATAGGAACAGAGCGAGATTAAATCGATGAGACAATGTCATCCTATGGAGAAGAATGCAAAAATAATTTAAACAAAACGAACATCATTACAACAACAACAACAACAACAACAAAGAGAGTGGCTAAGAATATTGTCCCTGAATTAATAAGTTGTTCTAGACTTTCTCAATGCTTCTCATATAATACAAGTCCAACCTTGATACATATCCAGCTAAGATCACTACATAACTTTGCTTTTATCAATATACATTTCTGTTAACACCTGGACACATAGCTCATCCTATCCTTATATTAGCCCTCAAATTAGATCTCGCTACTAGTATCTATCAGAAGTACGAGCCGTAGGTTATCCTTAGACATTTGAACCACATAAAATCAAGTGCACCCTGCCAGGAAAGTCATCCATACCTGCAGCTCCATGACGAAGATGCATCTTTCCGGCTGCTTTTCTTGGAAATGCTTTGTGTTATTATTAATTCAAGACCTTAAAATGGGATGCTATCGATAGTTGATCCGATATCATTCTCTAGAACTTTTGTGAGGTCTTAATGGGAGCCCAAATATCAGCACCATTGCTGCTGACTACTCCAACAGTATATGAAGCTGGCACAAGACATAAGCCTTTGCTTCTCAAGCTGCAAGGTTGTGATTCCTTCACAAGAAAACATGAATAACATTTCAACAAGGAGTAGAATCCTTTTTGTGATAAACGTTAAATTCCAAGTTCAGTTGATATGACATAATTGACATCAAATAACATTGCAATTAAGGTCTCATAGAGTTTCCTAATGTTGTAATGAAGGTTTTTTACTGCTTAGATGTCGCCTTTTTTCATGCTCGGATGAAGATACAAGAATAAGCAATTTCAGAAATGGTGCTATCAGGCTCTAACCTGTGTCTTAGACATTGGCATGCTTCCGAGGTATGGTGCGCTCAACACCTGAAAGAACCAGGAAAACAAAATGAGGTATTCCATTTTTGGCAGAAACATAAATGAGTTAGATTGAACATAGTTATAGTAATTCAATTGAAACCATCATAGCCAAGATCTGGATGAGCTAGCAGTAAAAACTATTCACTTTGACACGGTAGAACCTTCCACCTTTTGTATAGTAACAGATGATTTAGAGACCACACAGAAAGTTTCAAATCTGTGGGGAACCTTTGCTTCCAAATATAGGACAAAACAAAGGCTCTACATACTTGCATCAACTAGAATGTAATATTCACAAGTGAACATTCTGAATGCTCAAAGTTCAGCTCTAAAATCAGAAAAAGATGCAGAGAAAATGTAGAAAGAGGAAATTACAGAATACGGAAACATGACCTTCCAATCACTTAAATACTTAGGACATTTTCAGACATAAAATTTAGTACTGTGCGTACTATGAACAAAAGTATATGGCGAAAATCCTAAAAGTTTAATAATACAGATGAAAAACCTAATTACAAACCAAGACATAGAAATAGGGGAAGCTGCGATGAGTAGCAACCGAAGTTTATTAGAGGGACACGTGTACATTCGTGCAAACAATGGTACTCCAAAATCACACAGATCTTCTAAAACCATATAAAATTCCTTGAAATTATTAGAGGCATTGAGAGCATAACCAGATCAACCTCCAACAACTGGAAACTGCTCTTGAATCTACCTACTCGAAACACCAGCTCGAGCACACAAGAAAAACAAAGATGATATATCCTTCCTTCGAACCCTCAAAAAGCTTTTTAAACAAAGATTTTGCTTCTCCATTAATCTTCACAGTAAGAGTAACATAAAATTACATTCATTTGTAGTAATCATTCCGAAAATCTAACTTCAAGACCATCGTCGGCCTCTTATTTTTTTCAGCATATTTCAATAGCTTACTTTGTGTACAAAACTTGTCCAGGCCCCAAAAATGCCCAGACCTAAGAGAAAAATAAAACACCCAAAGAAGTGTAGAAAGATCATCATAACTTCGGTATAGCAAACACAAATATCCAGATTTGCAGTGCAAATACTTCTAGAACAAACTCCATTCCTTAAAAATTAGTAAAAAAGGACTTGAATAACCAGAGCAAAAGCATCCAAACAAGTGTGGAAAATAAAAAAAATTGAACTAAATGTTGAAATCAAAGCTGCAGCATAGAAGTTCCCAGAACCAATCTCATCCAAGTAGTTGACAAAAACATATGCTACTAATTTGGAAAGAGAAAATGACTAATCTAGCACTAACAGCAGGGATCTCTATATAATAAGAAGAAACTATCCCGACAAGATACTCCATTCAGAAGATATTCGTGTTGGAGCCAGTAACTTGCTTGTCTTTGATCAGACGTACAGTAATGTAGTGCCTAAAGAACGAAGGAAAAAAGATGTCGAGAACACACCTTCACTTGTTCATGGAGGAATTTTATGTATCCCATTGCTTCAAAAAGAACAGAAGCCGTATCTGTCTGCAAATATAACAGAAACCAGAATTTTATCCATATGGTGAAAATTTGGTAGATTATTAAGACTTGGGTGAGTTTGGTAAATTTGAGCTGCTCTACTTGGACATACAAGTGCGAGGGAAAATCTCAATCACTAAGATATTCCACCATTTGGTGCCTCAAAACCATATTCTATATAAATTAAATTTTGCCCTTGAAATAATAGTTCTAATTCATTGCTCAATTCCTGCAGAATGTACCTTGCCATATGGCGACACCAGCTGCTGGAGAGCTACTATTCGTTCACCAAACTTCTCCTTCTTCTCCTATTTCAAGTAAAAAGGCAAAAGGAGAAAAATCTCGATATCAAGAACTCAATGATAAGGGTTGCAGCACATTGCTAAAATACAGATGCACCAGTTTACAATTTTCAAAAGTATCACACAATCGATTGACATATAACTAATTTCCTCATTGTAAACAAATTTGTGACTTGGAGCAGTCAAACAAATATGTTCAACAGCCGTCACATATATCGGAGACTCCAAGTAGGTAACTTGAAGGAACTATTTTTAGATTTTCTTGGTCAGATTTACTCTTAGCCTTAAGATTAAAAGTCAATCAAAATATTAAATCTTAATTTCAGTGAAATGTATAATACACCAGAACAGTGTCTCTGTTCAGCAAAGAATCTTATGTTCATCATTCAGTATATTACTGCCAACCCATGTTGAAAGTATCCAAGAAATGAAAATTCTCAAATTCCACGAACTAGTGGAGAATCGAGATAAGAGAATGAGTTCATCAAAAATATCTGTCCATAAACATGTGCACGCCAACAACAATAACAGCATTGCAGCAAAAGGAAGGAGAAGAAACCTTGGAGGAAATAGATATATCGGCCTTAAGTCGTTTTGGTGTAAGAGATGTGAGGCTGGTGCTATGCTCAAGGGAAATAGGGCTTCTTTTGTGTTGCAGCATCTTTCTTTCTATTGTTTCAACTCACCAAAAAGTAATAGTGATCCTACTAAAAAGGAAAGAAAATGGATATTAATAGACATACAAGTGTTTCAGAAGTCACCCTGATTTCTCAAAACATTGACATAAAGAATTCCTACATAAAAGGAAAGAAAATGGCTATGAGATAACTAATAGACAGACAAATAAATGGCTATTAGAAGTCACCTTTGTTTTCTCAACGTCCTGAAAGACACGCTGATTAGAAACACTATCACCTCTTAACAAATTTTGTCAGTAGCGTTGCACCAGATGGCCGTTAAAAGTTGAATGATCATACTGTATGGTCATAGTGAAGGCTTTTTCAGTAAGGAATTTAACTGAGACAAAACATGTTATAGTAGAAACCACTATACTAAGGATTTTTGTTTGCAAATGTGAAAAGCTTCCATTTCACATGGTTAACTATCAAGATTCTTTGGTAGCTGACCAAGAAACACACCAACAATACTTAAAAATATAAGAAAGAATATGGAAGTATACCAAAGAATATGGAACGCACAACTAACATCTTATTCTCTCCTAGAGAAGGCATTGATTAACCATTATTGCAGTTATCAATTATTTCTTGCAGAGATCCTGAAGGCGGAGAACAATTTTAGAATGTGCGGCTCATTCAAGTCTTTGACTTAGCTACCCTTATATATGATATAAGTACACACCATAGAACCATATTTTAAACATCTCTCCCTTTTTTCCTTTTCTATCCACAACCCAACATCTATTCTTGTTGATTAGTTAAAGGACTTCATTCAATGTATATGCAGTCCAAGCTTTGGTAGACAGAGTTACCCGTTACCTGTGTTGGTGGGAGGTAGCAAATATCCCATGGAATTAGTCGAGCCCGAATTGTATATGCAGACAATCCAGTCAAACTTCTGGAGCAATTTCAAACATGCAATACTTTGAAAAATAACCACCTATCCATTATACCAATTTTATAAATGTACTGTTTGGCATAAATGGCATTTGATTGTTCAAGGAACTGTCATGGAAGAATAATACATACATTTCAAAGAGAATAAACAATTAAATAGTCCATCATCTGTTTATTATATTACATAAACTATGTCAGAATAAAGAATGCATATTCTGTGCTCATTATATAAAACAAACTAAGAGTATAATAAGGAATGCATTAAAAAAAGCCAACCATCAACAACAGAATCTATGCCTACATAATTGCATAAATTATATTATGCTTAAAAAATTTTGCTCAATTGTTCTGCTAAACTTCGAGGGTCTATTGGAAACAACCTCTTTATACTCACAAAGTAGGGGTAAGGTGTGCATACACACTATGTCGGGATAATACTGGGTATGTTGTTGTATTCTGCTAAAGTCCACCAAGAAAAAGTTGGAGATTTTTTGCTACGCTATTGATATAATGGATGTCTTTTTTCCGTATTAAATTATCTGTAGTGTGAATAGGGGTGAGAAGAACTGAATTCAAAGAAACCAACTTTAGTGGGACCAACTTCAAGTATTTTAATATATCATTAATTAAGCATGAAAGAAGCCATTTGCGTACACAATCATTTTTCACAATCAGAACCTTATATCATGCTAATTAAGCGTATTAAAAAGCTACAAGCAACTAACATCACTGTAGAAAAAATCATCTAAACTAAACATTTCAATAAGATTGACTCAAGCATAACCCATCAAATTTAAAAACTTAGAAAACCAAAGAAAATTATCAACTTCAATAGAAACCACAAGAAAATTCCACTGTACAATATGATGCTGTTTAACTAAAAATTCAAAAAAAAAAAAAAAGGAATTACTTTTTACACCTAAGCTTACATACACACACTTCCATCCAATTTATGTGATCTTGTTTGATTGAACACGAAATTTAAAAGAAATAGTAATATATTTGATTATATATCATCTCGTTGAGCATAAAATAAGAAATGTCAAAATAAATTATTTTTAAATATAAAAATTATCATTCGTATCAAACAAAAAAAAAAAAAAAAAAAACTAGACGAAGTCCGACATAGAGATAGGTAGTAGTAGGAAGTTAATTCTAAAGTTTGATAGTAGTACCGACC